GCCGCTTGTTGGAAGCTCTTGGCTAGAGGGAAAACCACAGAGTGCCGTGGCGCAAATCCTGTGTCTGCCAGTTTCTCGTGGGTGATCAACGATGGTTGGCGCGGACTACCCATTGTTTTGCTCTCTTACACCGCCTTCGCCATGTTCGCCCGCTGCTTCACCTTCCCATTGCGTGCTACAGGCAATCGACGAGGCGAGTCCCATGCCCTTGTGCGACGAGCCTGGAGCGTGCGTGGTGGCGACCTTGTCGTCCGTGACCCCCGTCGACCTCACCCAGATGGTCGATCGCGCTTTTCTGGCCGAGACTAACATGGTCCGGCAGGTATCCCAACTGCACCGCATCGTGCGCGAGTGGGAAGCCGAGCAGGCTTCGATAGTGGACGTTGCGGACGACAAGAAGCACGTGAGAGCCGGAATATCCGCGGTGTACATTTTGTTTTTCTAGAAAGGTGCATCCTCTTTTGGGGGGTAGTTGGGCTGTGAACACGGAAGGCGTTCGCGTTAGTTGGCCCAGTACGGATGCTAGAAGGTAATGAGCGGAAACCGGGACGGTTTTTCATGCGAAGGCAAACAACCACAACAACAACAACAACAAACAACACACCCCCCCCGGCGATTCGAGTTTGTTGAACGGCGTAGGCGGTGCTATTCGTTGGCGAAATTTCCGGAGCATCATAGGCACGGTTGATGTTGCCCAGAACTGCTGTCGAACACGCATCGTCTCGTGACAGAGACAGACGAGGACTGCACCACTCCTTTGCAGCGTTTTCGCTCAGCTAACCCTTCCCCTCCCTGCCCCTCCGACCCCACCCTTTTTTTATACCAGTTCGGGTTCTGGAGCCTCATGTTCTTGGTCCAGAAGGCAGGGTGGCGTTCGTGGAACTACAGCGTGCCTGCTGCCATGCCTGTCAGGTATGCTTCGGTCATGTTCTTTGTGCATGGCAGTGTTCTCCTTCGGAAGATCGTTTCTTCGGACGATACGTTTCCCCGTCAGCTCAGAGTTCATCGCGTTTGCCTAACGGTTGGGTGGATGGCGAGAGCCATGCCATTGGTGTTGACGTTACCCGCGATTTTGGAAAAATTGGTGCTCAGCCATCATTCAGGGAGAAGATTACCTGCCATCACGGGAGTTCCGTTTCAACAGTATTTTCTGTTCTGCAGATGAGCGATTGCTTGATTCATTCTCAGCGCCACTGCCAAATATGTCCTCATGACCTTCTGTGGGTTGACGTGTGGCACAGCGTGTTTGTAAACTGGGTACGGACGAACGCTGTTTCGGTATGAGTTTCGCCGTTTGTTTATGGAGCTCTCATCGATGCGCATTTACATATTCGACCGTGACTACTGTAGACTTGATTCTGCTGCCACCGGTGTGCGTATTGTTTCAACATTCATGACGGCTGATCCAGGAACTGGTAGATGACGGCGCTGTGCGGCGGGCTGAGCTGCTGCTGGCTGGTGATGACCCTCTGCCGACGTTTGCGGCTGTTCGCCGGAGCTGTGTCCAACCACGAGGAGGAGAGGAGGAGGTGGCAGCGAGAGGCCATGATTGCCACCGCCGCCGCCGTCGTCGCGTCAGGGAAGAAGATGGAGGACAAGATCAAGCTCGTCCTCCAGAGCCAGCTCGAGGAGGAGATGGGGAGGTGTCAGACTGAGGCCGAGATCGCCACCACCGCCGCCGCCGCCGCGTCCGGGAAGAAGATGGAAAAGAAGATGCAGCTGGTCTTCCAGAGCCAGCTCGAGGAGGAGAGGAGGAGGTGGCAGACTGAGGCCGATATTGCCACCGCCGCCGCCATCGCCGCGTCAGAGGAGAAGATGAAGCTCGTCTTCCAGAGCCAGCTCGACGAGGAGAGGGGAAAGGCCAAGCAGTTGTTCGAGAGCGTCATCGCGGACTCCCGAAAGGAGGCGGTTCTGGCCATCGGGAAGATGGTCCAGGACAACAGGGAGACCAAGGACGGCAAGTGAAAAAATATGCTCGACGGCGTTGAGGCCAGGCTTCTCGGTCGCGTGGAGCACGAGCTTGGTGACACGCCTTCCACCATCGCCTCCCTCCGCGCAGGCGTCCTCCAGCTGAAGAAGCAAGCTGCCGACATGCCTACTGCCATGGAGAAGGCGGTGATGGACGAGATATTCCGCCTCGGCACCGAACAGCTCGAAATGGGGCAAGTCAAGCTGGCTGACGAGATGGCAACAGTGCAGCAGGAGATCCAGGACATCCAGGAGGGTCTCACGGCCAAGCTCAACGACCTCAAGAACAACGCGGACGCCCTCGGAGCTGGCCTCTTGAAGGTCCAGAACAAGACCTTGGCTGACCGCCAGTTGCCGAAAGTCCTGCACAAGATGAACGAGAGGGCGGAGGAGTCCGCCAGGGTGTGGGGCAAAGAGTCCGAGCTAGGCCCACACTTCGCCCATTGGAAGGTCGGCAAGCAGCTACCCAAGGCAGGCGGGGGTGGCGACGACGACGGGCGCGAGGAGGAGGCGGGCGGAAACCTCTCGGGGCCGTCCCAGCAGGAGGGGGAGCAGAAGGAGGAGGCGGGCGGCCAACCCTCAGGGCCGCCGCAAGAGGAGGAGGGGGGGGGGGAGCGCAGGAAGACCAGGAGGGGAAAACGCGGGGTCAAGGCAAAGAAGGAAAAGAAGCCGGTGGGAGAGGGAGAGGGAGATGACAGCAGTGACGGGATGTCCGGGGGAGGGGAGGGGGGACAGGGCTTCTCCGCGGGCACCTAGAGCGGCAGCGGGTTGTTGTTGTTGTTGTTTTTTTTTTTGTTCTTGGCAGTAATCTTGCTCTCGAAGGCGTTGAGCGATGTGTCGGTTCATCCGACCCTTTGCCCGCCTGAGGTGATGCGGTTTACTGTCAAGCCGTGGAAACGAAACAGTTGTACAGCTATGGCTCGGGTCCACTAATGGGTTTGCTTTCGACGGATGTGGCACGGATTACTATGTACTTCGTACTTTA